CATTTACTATCTTCAGCTAGCTTTTTTTCTGCTGAAAATGTATGCCATTTTTTGCAGCACTTAAATTTGTATCGCATCTATGCCTGTGTCTCATTGTAGTAGTCTCAGACTCCCTTAGTGCTCTACAGGCTATACGAAAATTTGAACATCTCATCCCCTAGTTCTCCGTATCCAACTTTGGCTACGCCCTTTTCTCTACCAAACATAAAGATATTGTTTTTTGTTGGGTCCCTGGTCATGTCGACGTACAGGGCCAATGAACAGGCAGACACTGCTGCGCGGTCAGCAGTTATATGACCTACCATTTCCTATCGAGGGTGTTCCATTTCTGGACTTTTTGCTGCAATACTACCCACCTTCGCACCCGTTGGCAACAACGTTGGTCAACTCTGCTCGGTTTAAAAAACTTCATTCTATTAAACCGAGCATAGGTTACTGGCCGTTTCTTGTCATCATGGCCGAGGTTTTGGGGGACCACTCCCCTCCCGCCTTCGCATTGGCCCCACTCGTCTTACTCCATGGGTATCTCATGGAGAGGCACCCTGTTCCTCTCTGGAGCAGTGTCAAGTTCCCGTATCGATTAGCCACATTCTGTTAGACTTTCCCTCTCTATCCAACGAGCAGGAGAATTTACCTCCAACGTCTCTTCGTTCTACTACTCTCTCTTTACCTTCCCTTCTTGCTGATGGACCCTCCCTTTAAACCTGACCCCTCTCATTGACTTCTTGACAAAAGACTGATTTACTCCACAAAAATCTGATGATACTTTTTGCACTCCCTCAGCCCTTTTGTTCAGTCTCTTGCTGCCCTTTACCCTTTCACCATCCACTACCCCGCTGTTATCCGTAACCTATTACTCATCCATCTCCCTTTTGCCACCTGATGCCCTCGCTTCCTTCCTGCCCTGCAGTGCTGTATAGTCCTTGTGGCTTAGCGCTTCTTTTTGATTATAATAATAATAATGGACAAACATTGAAGTTGGCAGACTTGGCCTTATACATCAAAAGACAGCTGGGCACTATCACTGTGGACTTATTTCCAAAATTGCCACAATCCATTTGTGAGGTTTTACTGTGAATTTACAAGTTCATCAAATTTAATGAGTCAGTACCTGTTTTTTTTTTTTTTTTTTTTTTTTTTTTTAAGTTGTTTGAGTTTTTTCTTCTTGATGATACGAGTTTTCATGTTATTGTAAGCTTGGTATGTATAATACATCCCTGGATGCGTTCATTTTAATTATAAATATTTGGTGATTTTCAATAGTTTTATTAAACCTCTCAAAACACATTTTTAAATAAAAAAAGGAAATCGTGACTGGACAAACACAAATAACCCCAAAAAAAATAAAAAGAGAAGCTTACAGACGTTTCGGTCGACTTGGACCATTTACAAAGTCGCACTAACAGAATGGAGCAGGAAGGGTATATATAGCGAAGAGGTTGGTGGTGGTAGTAGTAGTATACAAGATGGATATAATACCGACAGCTGAAAATAAGACACAGCAAACACCGGGATCCTATCTAGACGTTTCGCATCCAACCAGCCACTGGATGGCGAAACCTCCACAACAAAGCAAAACCAGACACCCAAAACGTGTCTAATTTCATCAGTAGTAGTAGTTAGTGGAAGAGTAATAGTATGGTAGTGGTAGAAGTGGGAATAAGGAGGACAGCCCGTCAAATACAAGGAAGGGAGCACTGCAAGAGAGCTAGGGGCCCCAGAGGGAGAGCAAACGCACAGAGGTCGTGAAAGGGAAGTGGTGAAATAAAGAAGAAGGAAAAGAAACACGAGACAGAAGAGGAAAAACAACCCGAGGAGAAAAGGAAAGAGGAAGGGGAAGAGGGGAAGAAGAAGAAGAAAAGAAAAATGAGGATCAGGTTAATCACGGGTGTTCTGAAGTTTGGGCATTTACAATGAGTGGGAGAGGAAAGCAAACTACAGAGACGAAGCAGAGCTAAATTCATACAAGGAAAGTTGTGTATTAGAGAGGATTCAACTAGAAGGCGACTGTTCGAGTTGGAAGTAGGGAAGACAGTTTTAGCAGAAGACCAGTCAATAGGATGGCTATGATCTCTGACGTGACAGAAAAGAGCATTGTTAGTGTCGGCAAGCCTAACACTATTTTTGTGCTCCCTAAGTCTGTCAGAAAGAGATCGACCAGTTTCTCCGAAGTATTGAAGAGGACAGGAGGAGCAAGAAATAGAGTAGACACCAGGAACATCTGTAGAGGGAGGAGAGGTATGAACGAGATTAGTGCAAAGAGTGTTAGTTTGGCGGAAGGTAAGCTTGATGTCTAAGGGACAGAGAGAATTGTTGAGATTAAAATGACCGGAAATGTAGGGAAGGCAGAGGATAGAAGAATTCCCAGGAATAGAGAGTTTGGGAGAGAAGAAATTGCATTTAGCACGTGAGAGGGCAGAATCTATGAAATGGGAAGGGTAGCCAAGATGGGAAAACAAATTATGAAGAGTGGAAATTTCTGCTGGAAGGAACTGAGGATCACAGATGCGGAGGGCACGGAACTCTTCTATCCTCTGCCTTCCCTAAATTTCCGGTCTTTCTAATCTCAACAATTCTCTCCGTCCCTTAGACATCAGGCTTACCTTCCGCCAGACTAACACTCTTCGCGCTAATCTCGTTCATACCTCTCCTCCCTCTACAGATGTTCCTGGTGTCTACTCTATTTCTCGCTCCTCCTGTCCTCTTCAATACTTTGGAGAAACTGGTCGATCTCTTTCTGACAGATTTAGGGAGCACAAAAATAGTGTTAGGCTTGCCGACACTAAATGCTCTTTTCTGTCACGTCAGAGATCATAGCCATCCTATTGACTGGTCTTCTGCTAAAACTGTCTTCCCTACTTCCAACTCGAACAGTCGCCATCTAGTTGAATCCTCTCTAATACACAACTTTCCTTGTATGAATCTTAGCCCTGGCTTCATCTCTGTAGATGCCTTCCTTTCCCACTACATTGTAAAATGCTCCAAACTTCAGAACACCCGTGATTTAAAACCTGACTCCTCATTTTTTCTTTTTCTTTTTCTTCTTCTCCCTCTCCCTTTCCTCTTTCCTTTTTCTCCTCTGGGTTGTCTTTCTCTCTTCTGTCTCGTGTTTCTGTTCCTTCATTTATTTCACCACTTCCCCTTTCACGCACCTCTGTGCGCTTGCTCTCCCTCTGTGGGCACCTAGCTCTCTTGCAGTGCTCCCCTTCCTTTGTATTTGACTGGCTCGTCCTCCTTATTCCCCACTTCTACCACTACCACTACTATTACCTCTTCCACTACTACTACTACTACTGATGAAATTAAGACACATGTGCGGTGTCTGGTTGTCTTTGTTGTGGACGTTTCGCCATCCAGTGGCTGGCTGGATGGCGAAACGTCTATGATAGGGATGCCCGGGTGTTGCGCATGTGTCTTAATTTCAGCTTGTCGGTATTATATACCATTCTTGTACTACTACCTCTACTACTACCACCACCTCTTCCTGCCTATATATGGCCATCCTGCTCCACTTCTGGTTAGTGTGACTTTGTAAATTGTCCAAGTCGGACCGAAACGTCGTCGTAAGCTTCTCTCTTTTATGTGCGGGTTATTTGTGCACATTTTTAAAACAGTAATAATACAGTATTATTCAATTTGCCTCACATTCCGAGTCCTTTCATACTTATGTTAAACATCTTGTAGCAGAGTGTTGATATCAGTCTGTCGAATCATGGTGCAAAGTTGTTATTCTTCAGTGGGTGTTGTCGGAGAGTTGTCAGATGTTATTGGCTGTGTTGATGGGGCAGAGTATTTTGCTGCCTCCATCACAACTCATTACATGTATAAGGTTGTATCCACCAAAATCTTGCAGTTAGGAGAGGAACAACATGATGTTGAAGCCCATCCTGGATCATTGTCAAGTCAGTTGTGATTCAACAGGGATCCAGGATCCATTGCTCAAATTCAACCCCTGTTTTAAACCACAATTGACCACCTTCCACCACAACTCACCATGAGATGCCACCATTTTCCTCCACTCACCACAACATTCCACCACCACAACTTGCCACCACTTTCCACCACCACATTTGATCACACTCACCATAATGTTCAACCATCCTCCCCAACACTGCTGCTCCAGGGTCATGGTCTCTGTCTCATCTGGCACAAGCCACTCTGTGAGGTTAGTAGTTTGAGAGAAGGTAGTCCTTGTAAGAGCAGTTGTCTTTGTTTATTCTTGGTTGTCATTAGAGTTTACATTTTATGAATGTTCATTCTGTGGGGAATTATTGTATATAGTAATGTTCATATAAATGCCAAAAAATTCTTGGCAAATTTATGAGTACAGTATATTGATACAATAGTTTTTTTTTTTTTCTTTAGAACCCACAAAATTGATCGCATATTGGACGTGGCATACATTACAGGGGTCATTATCAGCAGTGGCTGTAGCAAGCATGGAGTGGTATACTTTTTAGTGGGTATTTATTACTAGTGTTCTTAGATATTGCTTAAAATTATTTATTCAGTGAAACTTTTTAGGAAAAGCACCAGCTAATCTTGTTGATTTATACATATTGTTGACAAAAGAGATTTTTAGCAAATTGAATTTCTCATGATTCCAGTATTCTGATACATTACTATAAATTTAGGGAAGTGAATAATTTTATTTAATTAAAAATGTTCAAATCTTCTCGGTTAAAGCATGATCATGATTTTGTTATTTTTTTTATTATGCAGGGGGTCTTTGACTTACAAACAAGGGTGTTCCCAGTGTTTTAACCTGTAAACCAATAGTTTCTTGAATCAACTATCTCATTGAAAATGAAACTGGTACAAGCAAAAATTGTCATGTTTTTAATTGCAGAATGTCATTTATAAAACATGCACTTTTATCAATGTAATTTTGGCCTCGTTCATAAGTGCAGATCGTTCTAACTCGGATGTTTGTAATTTAGGGACCCCTTGTATTTTAAATTCATCTAAATAGACTTGTGTGACTTGTATCTCCCAAACAGGAGTCTCCCCATTGAACTCCACGAATACCTCCAACTCTACCTTCATCAACAACAATCTCAACAACACCATGACCACCACCACCAATCCTTTCGCTACACCTGGCCTCGCGCCCTCATCTTTTGCAGGTGTGAATCCATTCAGCGCTCCCAGTCCTCCGAATCCCTTCCAAGCTCAACAAGCCCCTAAGCCTTCTATGAATCAGCTAAGAACTACGGGCATTGTGGGTTTGCCTCCATCCAATGCTGGTGCTCCTGTTCATACTACCGGGTCGTCCCCTGGTCCATGGGGCTCTCCTCAGCCGTCCATTGGGTTTGGAGTAGCACCCGCTGCAACCTCCCAAGATGAAAATCCCTTTCTTTTATAATATTACCAAATCCTCAGTAGCAGTGTTCACATACCATTATTGTAATGCATTATCATTATTTTACTTGATTTTTATTAACACCAGTTCTCTGCTTTATTTTAAAGTTGTAAATAAATTCATAGATGTATTCTTTATACAGTATAATGTATCACATTAGTTTGTACAGGGTCTCCATTTTCCTCCCATCACCTTTCCATACATTAGGATTTTATCTATGCTGAGTTTGAGTGAAACTTCAGAAACACCAGGAATATGCTAATAAAATTTATCCTTATTCTGTGGTAGTTTTCATAACTTACATTCAGACTTCTGCAAATATGTCTCCAAAGAGTTTATATTGAATAAAAGTATGCAATATTATCTTTATTATATTATAATTAGGTGTACATTTATAACAGGTCCAGAAGTAGATTATAAATGAAGTAACTTATTTTGTAAATTTCTTAATATTTAATGTTTTTGCAAACATTTCTTAGTTTTTGTTCATAGCTTTGAACTAACAAGAGTTAGTGTTAAGGCTAATATACAGTGAGACTTAGGTAAACCAGTTAGTTTATCATCTGTTATGGATGGAAATTTAGTTTTCCTGCTGCGTTGAATAGGGGGTATTGTTGTTAAGATAGACACTTGGTGTAGAGCTAATCTTTTAATATAGACTTTCACTGTAGAACTTTATAGAGTCATGACTTAATAAAGTTCTACTTAGAGCAAAAACTTGCCCATAGTTAACATTTGCTCTACCCAAAGTGTCTGTTTACCAGTTTTCCTGCTCATGTAATGTTGAGCATTACAGAATTATTAATCTTGCATCCAGAAATTATTGGCTTGTGTATCTTTTGCATTTACTATTTCTTAATTGAAAAGAAAATGGTAATGGTACTTTATTTTATAAATTTCTTGTCCCGCAGAACATTAAGACATAACTGTGCCTTGGCAGAAGACGGCCATTGAGGTGAAAAAGTATACAAGGTGCTGAGAAGAAAACCGATGAACTCGCCAGTGAGTGAAAAGTGTGCAGTGAGCAAAAATTGCATTTTCTTTACAAAAATGTTCATCAGTCTTTAAAATAAGACCAGTTTAATCAAAATTGTATGTTTGATTACTGAGATATTGTTGCAAACATTTGTAGGCAATCTCAAAAGTGACATTTGGTGAATTAACGTTTTCTTCATTGCAAAGGTTTGTAGGCTATATTCAAGCTGATATTTGGCAAGTTTGTCATTTTTATTCTCAGCACCCCGTATAATACACAATACACTCGCACATGCACGTGTGGGAGAAGACCATCAAGTTAAAAAAAAAAAAAAAAAAAATTTAACTCGATGGCTGTCTCCAGCCAGGACAGGGTAACCCAAAGAAGAAAATACGTTCATCAACATTCACTCAGTTGTCATCTTTCCAGAAGTGTGCTGACATAATCAGATTACCCCTTTGATTGCAATATTCCCATCCCTCCTTCAGAGTGCAGGCACTACCCTTACCACCTCCAGGACCAAGTTCAACTCACAGGTTTCCCCAAATCCCTTCATAAAACTTAAACTGCTAACACTTCAGTGGCATGTTCATTAACCCTTTCACTGTTGAAACCCCTGCTCACAACCTTGCTCTCAGTGTCGAAGAATTTAAAAAAAAAAAAATATTTCTTGTGAAATGATAGAGAATCTTTTCCCAATGGTAACGACACCAAAAGTATGAAATTTGATAAGAAAACTTACTGAATTACGTTCTCGCGAAGATAGCGGTCTTGGCAGTATATACGCATTGGCAATTTCACTAACTTTGAGCCACATTTTTGGCCAATCACATTGTTCCGGTTGACCAAATTCATAGCTATTTCACTACAACTCCATTTGTTCTATTGATTGAGTACAAGAAACTGCCTATTTACTGATTTCAACTAAACAATAAAGTGGTCAGAAATTGGAAATTTTGCCAATTTCACACAAATTTCAAAAGATGCCAATTTCAAAATAGGGTCCAGAATAAACAATGCAGACATTCCTGTTCATTAGCCACATCTCCAGGCCCGTCTTATATTATTTTTGCTTTCCATTTTGAATTTTTATTCACACAAAAAAATAGAAGATTTACTGTTATGCAGACTACTATATTATTGTAATAATTGTATAATGTCAACCCATTCATGACTGTGTATTAGACTGGCCAGTTTGACATGTACTGGATGGTGACTTCATTGTTTACTCTTGAACATCGGCAAAAATCGAACATTTCCGCTACTTTGAGCTCAATTTCAAGGTACTTTTCATCATGAAACCAATCAAAATCATCTATTTCTGTAATATATCTTCATTCTATCAAATGAGACCAAGAAAACAAGAATACAGCCATAAATACCATACAAAAATACACCTCGAAGCCAGTGTTTTAAACCAAAAACACAGTCGGGGTGTTATTTTTCTCATGCACTGCATGCGACAGAATTTTTTTATATTGCGCACACTGACCATGCAGACCCATTCTCTCACATGTAGGTCTACGAGCTTTCTCCTGCTAGATTTGAAGCCACTAGAATTTTGGTTTATTAATACATCACTGACACTGGCTTGTAAGCCATACCTATATGTCACCGACAGTGAAAGGGTTAAAAACCACTTTTCTTTATGCACTACTGTGTAACACTCATACAAGTCTGCTGGATACTCAAGCCCCTAACATTCAAAGCCTCTTGTCCCCTTCCCCTCCAACCATTCCTGGAAAGACTACCTTTCTAATTTCCACTCCTGATTTATAACTGGTGGTGGGAAGTACAATGCCTAGACTGTAAAGGAGGGATTTGGGATATTTGCTGTTTGGAGGGACATCTGAACCGTTGTATTTACGTGCCTCTGGCAAGACAGTGATGGTGGAAGCGTGTTTTTTTTTTTTTTTTTTTTTTTTTTTTGTCAGGAGATGGTCAGTGTGTTAAAAATGTATATACATATATAAACATTATTATGTGTATATGTGTAAATTTTTTTTTTTTACACTAACCATATCCTGTTGAGGTAGGGTGATCCAGAAAAGAAAACTCACTGTCTTGCCAGAGGTGTGTAGATACTACAATTCAGATATCCCTCCAAACTGCAAGTATTCCCCACCCTTCCTTCAGAGTGCAGGCAAAGAACTTCTCACCTCCAGTGTTCCTGAATTATTTCACAAAATGTTACCTTGCTCACACTCTTAACAGCTCATCAGGTCCCATTTGCTTCCATTCCTATTTAACACGTTGACACACCTGCTGGATGTCCAAGCCCTTCCCCCCCCCACACACACACAAAAACTCCTTTACCCCCTCCTTCCCAACCTTCCCTCCACTACAGATTTAGACAACCTACAAGTCATCCTATTTTGCTATATGTAACTCTTGTCAAAACCACCTCAACAACCCCTCCTCAGCCCTCCGGATAATATACAGCCTCTCCTTGCTTAACGACAGAGTTCCGTACTTAAGACCATGTAGGTAAACGAATTCGTTGCTAAGTGAGGAGCGTATTATAATGGTATTAGGTTTGTGTCAGCCATCGAAGATGGCTGACACATTTCTGGTATATTTTTAAATGTTTATGCAGCAGTGTACTGTTGATTGTAATAAACAGAATAAAAGAAATCAGCTCTAATATACAGTATTTAGGTATACATACTGGTCAAAGAGCCCGTCGTAAGTCCGAGTTGTCGGTAAATGAGTACGTTACTAAGTGAGGAGAGGCTGCATAAAATTATGCTCGCACAGTATTTGAAATATTTGTTGGGGACTCGAGTGAGGCACATTACAGTACAGCCAACAATGCTGGTCACAACACTGAGGTCTACAAAAATGAGATCTGAAACATGCCACATGTGTGGACCTGGGAAGGTTAGCACAAATCACCAGCTGCAATCTATTGAAAGTTTTTAAATGGATTTCATCCAGAGCCCACAGGCAGTGATAGTGCAGTTCTTGTCCGCACAGTCATCAGCGACCACTACACCATGAGATCTACAATGAGATAGCGGACATGCCACATGTAGATTTAGGTTAGTGTAGTCACTACCTCTGACCCAATGGATTTCTTCCCAACCCCACAGGTAGAGATAATATAGCTGTTGTCCCATATTCAAGTGAATTTGAAATAGCCATACAAATGAGTATCACACTGGTAAGCATGCTAACCTTTCTCAATCCATGTATGTAGCATGTTTTGGATTTCTATTGTACACCTCTTGATGTAGTGGTCAGTGTTACTGGTTGCACATTTAGTCCCTGACAATTCTTGAGGGAGGGAATAAGAGAGAGAGAGAGTGTGTGTGTGTGTGTGTGTGTGTGTGTGTGTGTGTGTGTGTGTGTGTGTGTGTGCGCGTGCGTGCGTGCGTGTGCGCACATGTGTGTGTGTGTGTGCGCGTGTGCATGCGCGTGTATATTTTACATATATAAATGTAAACAAATGAATTAGTTTGCCTTAAAGTTGTTGAGATATGTATTGCATAACCCCCTAAGGCTGTATATACCTTACTAAATAAACTTTGTATATAGCTTTTTGACAATACAGTAGTTGTATTGCAACTTGATGACTCGCACCTCAGTATAAGAAACTGACCAATACCACCATGAACTGGTCACTCACAATCATGGGTAATTTTTACACTGATCATTTTTTTTTAAATTGACACTTAAAAGTAAATTTATTGATATGCATTGTTGTTTCCCATGCCAAACTTTATATTTTAAGATTTTATGTTGTTGAAAATTATCTTTTGTTATTATTATTAATGTATCATAATTTAGACCAGCATTGAAGGTGGTAATTTGAATATGTTTCTTGACTATATTATTTGATTGTATCTTGGGATAGGATGACATTGTCTCCTGAATGACATTGTGAGTGTCATGGTTAAAAATAGCATTACTAGAGGAACTAATCCTTGTACTTCTCTGTAGTATCTTGATGTGATGAAGGCCTCTTGAGCCAAGGAATTGGAGCTATCCTCCATTTCGATGAAACCTGATTGCCTCTCATTTTCAATGTGCTGTATGTGTGAGTGCTTCCACATAAATAATCATAAATTATACATATTGTGAATACTTGGGTTATAGAGCTGTGCAACATATATCTTTCACGTAACATATCCTCTAAGAATAATGGGTTTTTCTTAGTCTTTATTAAAACATAATGACTTCCATCATTTACCTTCTCTCTTCTCCCCATCTTAACATTTAATAATCAATCAAAATTCCAATAGTGCTATGTTCGTTTTTACTCCTTACTCCGTCACACCCCTACCCTCTCCTCATGCACACCTCTCTCATTCTCCCACACAAAACACACCCTCACCTTCCCTCACACCTCTCTGCACACCTACTCTCTCTCTACTCTCCTCTCTCCTCTCTCTCTCTACCTCTCTCTCTCATCTCTCTCTCTCTACTCTCTCTCTCTCTCTCTCCCCTCTCTCTCTACCTCTCTCTCTCTCCTCTCTCTCCCCCCTCTCTCTACCTCCCCCCTCTCTCTACCTCTCTCTCTCTCTCTCCCCCCTCTCTCTACCTCTCTCTCTCTCCCCCCTCTCTCTACCTCCTCTCTCTCTCCCCACCTCTACCTCCCTCTTTTTTTTTTTTTTTTTTTTTTTTTTTTTTTTTTTACACAGGGTTTGACAAGGTTAAGGATCCCTAGTTTTATTGACAAGCTATTTACAGGTTAAGGATTCCTAACTTTATTGGCAAGCTAAGAGCTGTTACCTACATCAGCTCATTTGAAAGCATTTTTATTGTTATGAGACATACAAGTAGGAAACAGGATGAAGTTGGAGCCATCTGTGGGCCAGCATTTTCATTTGATCATCTGACGTTATCTCGTTGACATCATTATGCTGTACGAATGTGTTCCATACTCGAGTCATCCTGGGTATATATGATCTCAGATGGAGTGATGTTCTGGAGAAGGGTACAGCCAGAGTGAAGTTGCTGCTTTCTGCCCGTCTTGTGGCATAAAAGCTTGTTTCACGCTGTCCTCGAAGTGGAGCCAAGTGTGGTACTTTGACAATATTGGCCTTGTACATAACAGTAAGGCCACCCACATCCCTCCTATGTTGAAGGCTCTGCTGAAATGACAGATCTATCCAGGATGGGTCCAGGCGAGAGATAAGACGTCTTGCTCTGTTCTCTACTCTGTCAAGCAGTCGCAGATGAGAGGGGGGGCAGGCAAACCAAGAAAGTGGAGCATTCATTCTCTCTCTCTCTCTCTCTCTCTCTCTCCTCTCTCTCTCTCTCCTCTCTCTCTCTCTCTACTCTCTCTCTCTCTCCTCCTCTCTCTCTACCCCCCCTCTCTCTCTCTCCTTCTTCTTACCCCCCTCTCTCTCTCTCTACCCCCCTCTCTCTCTACCCCCCTCTCTCTCT